AAAACTCCACCAGGAGCTAAGGATGTATACAAGAAAGGTATTCTCTGAGTTATGTCACTACCAGAGTCAGCTATCACCACAAGGCCAACACTGCTAACAGAGTAACTCCTGGTGAAGCACAGACTAGTATGGAAATGTCTGTTGCCTCACTCATCTGACAGAATTGTGTCCTGCTTTGACAGCAATCTCATACACACCCCACCCCCTTGCCCCTGTACCTGGAGTGTCAGCACAAGGAAAAAGGCAGCTGCAAAGCAGAAGCAAGATGCCCAAAGTATCTTCCTCCTCATCCTAATCATGCTGCACTACCAGGCCTGCCAGGGCAGTTACATCTAGGCATTAGGAAGGTCACTTGTCCAAAGTCTTCACTCTTTGCTGCTGGGCTTTCCCACTATATCCTTATTGCTCTTCATGGTTACTGCTGCTGAAAAAGAGTAGAGCATCAACACAGACAGTTCCTTCAAACTCAGTGGTCAGTTCCATGTCTACCCATAGCCTTCTGTAGGTGCCAGAGCCACATTTTCAGCCAGGTATCCAGAAAGCAGCCTGCACAAGACAGCACTCTTGCTCACAAAGTCCCAAGCACCTACTCCCCCTGAAGACATCCTGGACATCCTCCCATCCTTGTAGCCAGTGTAAGGAATGCTGATGGCGCTGGCTCAGTATACTGTGAGGGCCGCTGCTTTCATGAGCTTCAGATGTCAAGCTGTGCTGCTTTTCAGCAGATTCACAAACAGGGAACCAACGAGAGATTTTCCTTCCCTGGGCAATCTCTGAAAATGCTCCTGAAAAAGGCACACAAATACCTGGCCTTGGACTTGCTGCATTTCAGTCTTCTGCGACTTCACAAACATAAAGAACACTCACAGAATATGCTCTATGTCCAATGCATAGAGAAAGTAACCACACAATACATACACAAACTCTGTCCACACCTAAACCTAATTCATTTAACAAGTTACCCTTTCTCAGTAATCTGCACCTGTGTTGGTCTCCCTCTCTTCAAATAACTTTCCCTTCCCCAGTGCGTTTTTTAGCTTTCAGAGTACCCTACTGGTTTTTTGCATGATGGATGTTTCTGTACAAAAATCCCAACTCCTGGAAACAGGAGAAGTTGTAAAATTCCAGCCATGTCTTGAAAAATAAAAATAAAGGATGGTAGAAAGATAGGACTGTAGCACTCCACACAGAGATGTAAAGTTTGAAAATGTGGGTGTTCTGAAAACTCAGATATATAACAATGAAATTTATGTTGGTTTTCCTGCCAGCTTTCCCCCCATGTGGATCCCAATCACAAAGTTCTAAAGTCCTGGCAAAGAGGGGTGGCTCCCAAACCTACTGCCTGCTGCAGTACTATCACAGTGGTGCTGACAGCTAGAGGAAAAAAATATTCTTTTTCTGCTTCCACTGACACATGAGTTCATCCCTTTCCCTCAAACATCAGAAAGGCCTCTTTAGCAAAAGCTGACATGAAACCCTGCTGTGCAATTCTGCTCTGCACAGGCCAGCTGCTTTTGAAGGTCTGTGGGGGTGTGAAAGTGCATGACTGCCAGTTAAGAGCTTCTCAGATCAGGAGGATTTTCCATAAAGCCTCTGCACCTTCTGTGCCTCCTGCAGTACAGCCAAAAAGCGGCACCAGGAAGGGAAGGGGATGAATTCTGCCCACTGCTGTGTTGGCATAGCTGGAGCTGGACAGTGCTTTTAACACCATATATCTTACCAGGACAGTGCATGGCAAAAAGCAAGATTCTGATGATCCACTGAATACTGCCCTAACCCCCGCCCTGGTAAACAGCAGTAGTAATTGCCACATTTTCAGATCCTAGAGGGGGAACTGACCACAGCATGGGTGCACTCCACCTATTAACCCAGGGTATCACTGAGCCATGGCTTCATTTTTGTATCTGCGGTGCCCAGCATGCAATACCTCTGCCGAGCACGGCGGTGTGCGCTAGGACTGGGCCAGGCAGGGCTCTGTCCCGTCCCAGCGCCACTGGCAAGGATGACCTTGCAACGCTTTCCCACCTATGTCAGGCTGAGCGGAGGCCCTGAGGACTTGAGGGACGAAGGATAAATCACCACCCCAGGCTGCCCTGCGGGAGCAGCAGCTCCCTGCAAATCCTTCCAAACTTCCTGCCAGCTCTCCCTGCCGCCTCTCCCTCCAGCTCTGTGTCGCCGCAATTCTATGGACTCAGCATCCCAGCCGGGGTTTTTCCTGCTCTCCGAAACGCTGCCCCTTCCCGAGGCTGTGCGCATCCCGCAGCCCCGGCCCTGCTCCCGCCGTGGGTCGGGCATCGTCCGGCCGGGCGCCCGCCGCCGTACTCACCCCGAGACACTCGCTCCCGCCTCACCGCCAGCGTCCCCCTCCGGCCGCATCCGAGGGGGTTTGGGGTGTTTTGCAGCTTTTTTTTAACTTTCAGGCAGTGCACCTACTTGGAGCGCGGAGGGGCGGCGGGCGGGGGCGGTGCGGACGCGCGCCTCCCTCCGCCCGCCGCGGGGGCGGGGAAGGGGTCGGCTCTGCCCGGGGCCCCCGAGGCCTGCGCTGGGAGCGCGGAGGACTAATCGCCGTGAGGCCGCCATCACTTCCACCCCGCCCGACCGGTCTTCTGCAAACCCTCACTGCAAGACCTCACCCAATTCCCAAAAATAAATCCGCCCCTGACACTGATTCCTACAGCCGTTTGCATAATAGCGCGCTTTGCGGTTTTGTGGGGGTTTTGACAACAGTGCCGGTGCTATCCTGACGGAGACTTTACATTGCCAGCATGAGGCCGGGGGCAGTCAGAGAGAGAAATGCGTCACGGCAGCTGGGAAGCCGCGAGGAGCAGGGAGAGCCGGCCCGCGCTCGCCCAGGGGACGCGTCCCTCGTCCCTCTGGCTGAGGCCCTGCCTTGCTTCCAGCCGTGCCGAGGCTTCCCTGCCCGGCCCTGTGTACCGACCGCGGAACGTCCTGTCTGCCCGCTCGGGCCTTCCTGAAGCTGGGAAACACTTTGTGCACCTCCTACTCTTTGTAGATGTTTACTCCAAAAGCCTGGTTCTGCAAGGTCAGCTCAGTACTTACCAACCAGATACAGACTTAGGAACCACCCATTCTTGTATATGTCATTCCTGTATCCCATTTGTATTAACACAGAAATACACATCTCCATAGGTACTTATATTTATACAGAAACACTTGAAAGTGAGGTATCTGCTGTTTCTAACCCAGACATGGCAGACAGGGGTGGTTGCAAGGGGCTGATTACCTGAGGGAGTGGAGGGAAGAAGAATTCCAGAGGAGGCAGAGGGGACACCTGCGCCTCAACTGAAATGCATGACTGATCAAAACTGTAGAAATGTTATGCACACAGCTCATCTCCTTACTCTGGGTAATTCCGGCAGTCCTCCTGGTAGGATCAGACAGGCACCCAGCAGGTAACCTGAATCCAGCCCTCTGCAGCAGTGTCCATGACATCATCTCCATGATGGCTCTGTTCCCTTTGCACTACAGCTTATTCTTGCCAGTAGCCCCTTTGGAGCAACACCCACCTCTTACTGCACCAGAGAGCCCCGATTTCTCTCTGAACTACCAGTCTTCTCCCGAGATGAAAACTAGCAACTGCCATTACAACACAGGGACATACAGATTTATTTATACTCCAGTCTTTGTTTAGTGATTAATCTCAGCTCTTTTCCTATTTGCTGCTTCCTCACAAAGGTTTTAGCTGTTGGAGTCGGATTTTTAAGTAGAAGCTTTCAGGCTGGGTTTTAATATTATCTTTGAAGTTGAGTATTATGTTGAAGTGTTTACAGATATTTGACCTGAACATGAAGGATCCAAACTCACTTTTAGTCATGAGGGATGCAGCAAGAATCTCCCCATATTATTTTGCAAAGCAGATTAATGCAGAAGCAGAATCCTGCTTTTGCAGACCTAATTCAGAGACCCAGTATATGTTGTGGAAGGACTTGCTGTGATCCCACTGCATTTCGATCTAGTCCATAATTTTAAACTTAGTTACATTCCTGATTTTCACATTTCCTCAGCTGGCAGACTCCTAAATTGCTCTCATGAGGACAAAACTTAATTGCAAAATCTTCAGCTTCCTTCAACAGGCTTGACTTTTCTCAGTTACTGTCCCTCAAACCTTTTGAAGCAGTCTACAGACACAATAACCCACACTTTCAGACTGAAAATACAGAAGTGAGTCCTGGGGGCAGTCCTGAGGGATAGCTGTATGATCTGCTGTCTGTCCCATGCCATTCCCAAGCTGTTCTTGGACCAGCTCAATCCAGTGGCTGGCATCAGATAAACTCACTTTTGTTTCTTGTCCTGTTATGCCACTCTCAGGAAAAAAGCTGTTATTGCAGGACCTGGTTTGTCTGTAATCCACGTTAAATAGCTGGTAAAGATGATACCAGCATAAGCAATGGCAGAGCCAAATCATCATATAGGAATTCTGGATGAAAATTGCTGGGGTCGGCTGTCACTTGTCTCTGCCCCAGCACAGGAAAAGGTGGTTCTGGGCAGGCCGCGCTTTCGAAGAAGGAGTCTGGACTCTTGCTTTTGGTCTTCAGTTGAGTTTATTGTTCCTTACCTACAAAGTTTTTCTGTCTGTCCAGCCGAGGTCTGATCAGCAAGGCAGCCAAGGGCACTCTCTCCCGCCCACGGGGTGGTTGTCTCTTTTATAGTGAAAACTACGTATTAGATATTTACCTTCTATTTCCAATACTTTTCACTCTTGTTGGCAAGTGCACCTTCACCATGAACCAATCCACACATGCCAACATCATCCTGAACATGGATGCCAAGGAGAAGAAAGAAGGACAGGGCATGCCCAAATCCCTCCATCTTGGGACTCCTGACCCCCATGTACAGGATTCCAAACCCCCCTGTACAACATACAAAACCCCACTGTACAGTGCTCCAAAATTTTTCCCTTCACCCTGTGATTGCTACTACTATGCTACTTAAACTTTTGTGACCTGTAATTCTTCATATCAGGTTGGCAATTTGCTCCATGAATTAAGATTGAATTTCCAGGTGTCTTTGGCTTCCTGCCAGGGTCTCCAAGCCCCTGCCAGGGCTTTGAGACATCCAGGGCATCCAGAGAGATGCTCTGGGTTCCGACAGAAAATGACCAAAAAACACAACTGTTGCTAAGATTTCTTAAAGATCTACGTTTCATGGTATCCCCTGTCCATGGAGCGCTGCTGGTATCTAACAAACCTGCAATGCAACTTGTCTTTCCATGGGTCAGGAACAACAGCTTTTCTTTCTGCTCTGTCTCTTACAAACAAGATTTACTGCATTTGAGGTTTCTCTCATTCATATGCACACATTTCCTCTGTGTGTACATATCTGTTTTTAATACACTTTGTTTCTTTTTATGCCTTTGTTCCTCCTCTCTTTTTTATTATTTTGCACTTTAGAACATTTTTCTTTCTCTTAGGTCCTGCTGGATATCCTCTCTGTCTTTAGATATGCCCATTCCCTTTCTGCTGTATTCATAGACCTATTATTCTAAGTAGCCTTTCAGGAGATTTCTCTGGTTTTTATCCTCCATTACATTAGTATAGTCTATATTACTGCAACACCCAGAAGCAGCAACCTGTGCACTCCAAAGAGTCACTGCACAAACATCCTGGCAGGAACAAATGAAGTCCTCAGAATAAAACAGGGCAGAAAAGGCAGGGAGACAAGGAAAGCACAGAGCTCAAGTGACTTCCCAAAGGAGACAAAGCTGCTCATTGACACAAGAACCACCTGTGGGCCTGATTCTTTCTTGTCCTGAACCTTGTGTCTCAGTTTGCAGCTGTGCATTCATACTCCTTCATTGTCACTGTGGCACCATTCTTCTTTCCATAAAGTCACTGTAAAACACATGAAACACACAGCAGCTCAAAATTAAAGACTTTAACCATTTCCACCACATATGGAATGATTTCCCACCTCCCGGAGAAGACCGTACAGATGCAGATGTACACACAGCCCTTGCTACTGCACTTGCTCCGTGTTCCTTTAATTCTCTGCATGCTAATGCATCTCAAAGTGCCCCAGATTACAAACCCCTACACTGCATCAGCTGCTTTCTCTAATGATGGTCCTCAGCTACTTTGTCCTGCTGACCAACAGCACATCAGGTGTTATGAATAGAAAGCTATCTATTTTTTTTAGGTGGCAGAGTTAAAAACAAGTCAGACCAGTTGTTGTAAGTTAGTTGCACTGCCAAAGAAAAGTTCTTCAATTACCTGTTAATGGCCGGTGATTAACCATGGTCCCCCTGATGCTGGCCGCTTGCCAGGGAGGGACACGGGACAGACCCTCTAAGTACCAGGAAAATAGCAGTGACATCTGCCAGTATGCAGATGAGAAATGCATTGCGCCCCGAATTTTTACAGTTTTACAGGAAAAACCCCTAAAATTACGAGCCAACAAGTGACCTAAGTGACGTCTAAGGATGGGAGCGTAGTCCTGTACCTGCTTGGACCCTTTTTGCTTCTCACCCTAACCTGAAAAGATGTTGGTTAGAGAGACGCCCAGGGGTGTTAGACAAAAAAAGCCAGGAATCTGCGACTCTCCCGTGAGGATGGAATCCCCAGCTCTGCCTGCAGACCAGCGGACAAAGCTGCATCACCCTCCTTCTCCGTGCCACGCCTGGGAGCAACGGCGGCGTGGGCGCGACCTGTCGATTTCTCCCCACCTGAGCTGATTCTTTTTAATAAAGGCATTAAAAAGGAGAAAAGATCTCCTGCCCATTCATTTCAGAAGGGGATCAAAGAATCATTTAGGTTGGAAAAGGCCTCTGATATCATCCATTTTGTCAGCTAGACCACGGCCCAGTCTACCCTGGGTAATACATTTCAATGTCTAATTCACCTTTTCTGGGAAGGAATTCTTCCTGATGTCCACCCTGAACCTCTCCTGGTGCAGTTTGAAACTGTGTCCTGCCTGGGAGCAGAGCTCACTTGGCTACAGCCTTTCAGGTAGCTGAAGAGTGATCAGGTCACCCCTGAGCCTCCTTTTCTCCAGGCTAAACACCCCCAGCTCCTGCTGGGTCTGCTGCCTTCTCCAATTTCTCCCACTCATTAAAGGCGGCTGTTTCAAAACCTCCTCCAGTTTCACCTTTTTGCAGTGGCCAAATTCCTCTGCCCTGTCCGGTCAGATCGTCTCAACCTAAGATGGCGCCAGACGCTGTTTTCCCTCCGCGGCGCGAGCCCTCCCTGAGGAAGCCCGGCGGGCGCAGGGAAGGCAGGCAGGCGCTGTCCCGGGACACGCCGCGCGCGCCCTCCGCGCCAGGAGCGGCGCTGTGGAGCCGCGGCGCCGCTCCGCCCCCGCCTTGGTGGTGCAGCCGCGGCCCGGAAGCGGCGGCGGAGCAATGGCGGCGGACGGGAGGGCAGCGGCGGCGGCGGCGGAGCTGCCACCGGAGGGGGACGTGGAAGGCGGCAGCAGCGAGCCGGAGGGCGGCTCCTGGCAGCTGCTGGAGGAGGAGGAGGAGGAGGACGGGGAAGATGCCGGCTACGTGCTGTACAGGTACGGCGGCGCGGGGCCTGGCCGGACCGAACCCTCGCGTCGCGGCACGGCACGGCACGGCACGGCACGGCACGGAGCTGGAGCTTCTGGGAGGAGCAGGGACGCCTTTAACTAGATCGGGTTGCTCAAGGCTTTATCCAGCATGGCTTCCAACACTGCCAGAGCGGGTGCATACACAGCTTCTCTGGGCAGCCTGGTCCGGTGTCTCGCCACCTTACAGTCAAAGAATTTCTTCCCAGTGTCTAACCTGAATTTTCCCTCTCTCAGTTTGTACCCATTACTCCTTGTCCCATCATGAGAGTTTCTGATGGAAAATCCCTCTCCAGCTTCTCTGTAGGTCCCCGTTAGATACTGGAAGGCTGCTCTGAGGTCTTCACACGGCCCTCTCCTCTCCTCTCCTCTCCTCTTCTCAGCCCCAACTTTTTCTGTTTGTCTTTGTAAGGGTGGTCCAGTCCTCTTTTCAGCATTGTGGCCCTGCTGTGCTCCAACACTTCCATGTCCTTCTTATGCTGGGGACACCTTTATGTATTTATATGCTGGTCTGTGTTGCAGACAATAACGTAGCTAAAATAGTAGGGACTGTTCAGAGCAAGGATGTGTTAGTGGATTTGTGTGTGTCGTGGTTTGAGTAGCATTTTGTGCTTTTTAGAAGCATTGAAAACACAAAAACATGTATTTACAGGGACAGGAAGGAATGGGCTGATATTGAACCTGTTCCTCAAAATGATGGGCCAAATCCTGTTGTTCAGATCATCTACAGTGAAAAATGTAAGTCTTAAATATATTCTGCCTTTAACCATTGTTGAAACAAGACTTCATGTTTTGGATAACATTTTCTAGAGTGATACTGTGAAGAAATTAGTTCATTGTGTTATGGTGCTTGTGTGTGGTGTTTTCACCAAGCATCTTTGAAGCTGAATCTTCTCCTGAGATGTTAATAGCCAAGAGTCTCCTTTAGAATCCTATTGGCAGACAGTGTGGTTCGTGTCTCAAGGCATTTCCAGCCCACAAGTGGAAACAAAACATGAAGTTCTTGCAGCTGGTGAAGTAGTGTGAGTAAGCAGCACAGATCCTTTATGATTGTTATTCTGATGGTGTGTTTCTAACATACTTGTGCAGCTTTGTGGTGTGCTGACATCCTGCACAGGTCTCAGTGGAAAATGCTTTCCTATCAACAGGTATGATTAGTTTTACAGAGGTGTATTTAGAGCACAGAAAGTAGGAAGCAATTCCAAAGGATTGTGAACCTTGCCCCTGTTCAGGCCGTTGGCTGAGGTGCTATTCTCTGTTCAGTCCGAGATGTCTATGATTACTTCCGGGCTGTTCTGCAGCGGGACGAGAGAAGTGAAAGAGCTTTCAAGTTAACAGCAGATGCCATTGAGTTAAATGCTGCAAACTATACAGTATGGTATGTAGTAATCTTGGAATTATTTCTATGGTCATTTGTCTGCCTACCTTTTAAGTCTTTAATGTTTTGTTTGTTGAATTAGGGCGTGAATTTGCATGGAGCAGAAGAGTAGCTTTCCAGTGAGCTTCCAAAGAAAGCCTTTGTTCAGTATTTCCCATGCCTCATTTTAAATCAGTGTTTTTCATTCATTCATTTGGCTCTAAGGGTATTATCAGTCAGGGTCAGGGTTAGCCACAAAAAGGACTTTGCTGTTTAAAATTAGATTACTTACCTGATAATGTGTCCATGGCACAATGCTGAAGATGCTCTCACGTGACTTTGAGAAGAAGCATAAAAACATGATGGAAAATAATTCATGTATTTACTACTAACAATAAGCTACTAATACTTTGTGCATTTTAAAAGATCTGTCAAGTTAGGTAATAAATAAACAGTGAATTTCTGATATTCAGATTAGAGCCTTTTACTCACAAGCTGACAAGTAGTCCTTGTACTTCTTCATTCCGCTAATTTCCATAAAATCAGAAAGTTTACATTGTTTCAAGCTCAGAAGTCATAGTTTCTGTGACAGAAAACTATCATGGGTACAGGTTAACTTGAACATCTTAGATAATGTACTGTTGCATCCACTCATATTCTAGTTCTCTGCTGTTCAATAATTTAACAGAACTAGATATGTGGTTAAGGATTTTGCATTAGTTTTAGCTTTTTGCACTGTTTTTAGCTCAATGTCATTTACAAGAACTGTGAACAAAGGTGATTCCATGTTCTTCTCTGTGAATTTTAGGAAAATCCTTTTACAGTGTTCAAATGCTTGACTTTTATACAGGCATTTCCGGAGAGTCCTCCTGCAGTCTTTGGGAAAGGATCTCCATGAGGAACTTAAGTACATTACAGCTATCATTGAAGATCAGCCAAAGAACTACCAAGTCTGGTAAAATCATGCTTTCTTTTCTGTTCTTAATATTTTTGCAGATAATGTTTGCTTTGCAAATTGTCCACTTGTTGTGGAGGAGTTAAATGGAGTTGCATCATGTCAGAGCTCCTTTCAGATATGTGTTCTAAGCATACGATTATGACATGCTAAGCAGGTGTTGTTTTCTTGTTAATTTCAATTTTTAGACTGCCAAAATAAGTCTGACAGGTTAAAAAAAATAAAAGACTTGTGAAAAGGCAACTGAGAACACACATAGAAATTAGTATTTTTTTGTTTTATTGTGTTCTGGAGTTTGCCTGCCTGTTGTTGGGTTTTTTCCAAAATCAATGGAAAAAGTGGAGAAATTATGTAGTACTAGAAAACTTTACTCTGCTGATGACTTTGACCATGAGTATGAAACTATGTTGCTTCAGATGAACGTTACTTGTCTAAAATAAGATGATTGGCCATTGTGTATATGTGGTTCGATTTTTTTATCGTATAAATATGCATCTGTTATTTCTCAGAGCCAAGTGAAATATTCTGGTATGCTTAATTTGAAGTATTTAACTAGTGGGGTTTTTTTTTCCCCTAAGTGGTACACTTGCTATAAGCTGCTACTATATAGAACACACACTCACCAAAAAAATTTAGACTTCACTCCTCTCGTCATTAGGCATCACAGACGGGTGCTGGTTGAGTGGCTGCAGGATCCATCCCGAGAGCTTGAGTTCATAGCTGACATTCTTAACCAAGATGCCAAAAATTACCATGCCTGGCAACACAGACAGTGGGTTATTCAGGTATTGTATCCACAGAACTCTTGATTCTTTAAGTAAACTGCATTTTAAATGTGTGGCAGAGGTTAGCTGTAAACTTGCCTTTTAGGAAATGAGTTCAAAGAATTGGATTGTTGTCTACTGCCTGTTTTGTGTGTGAATTTAATTATGAGCTAATACCATTGTGTACCACTGAGTAATGTAGCATGTTCGTAGTTCACCCATACTTTTTTTTAAACTTTCTGTTGATTTCCTAAAAAAAGGGCTGTATCTGATGTTCAGGCAACTTAAAAACAACAATGTATTTTAAAAAAGAAAAACTTTTGATTGTGATACTCTCTCTTCCTTCCCTTTCTGTAGGAGTTCAAATTATGGGACAATGAACTGGACTACGTAGACCAGCTTCTGAGAGAAGATGTGAGAAACAACTCTGTTTGGAACCAACGGCACTTTGTCATTTTCAACACCACTGGCTATGATGACCCAGCAGTCCTAGACAGAGAAGTCCGGTTAGTAGTGCTATTCAGGCTCATATTAAACAGTCTCCATTACATGAAAGCAAAGGAATACTTTCACAGTCCCCATGGACTTTGTTTCCTGATTTTTATTCACTTCGGGGACTAACACTCATGGTTAGCAGATAAAGTGTCAGACTGAAGCAAGCTCTGCTTTCCCTGGGCAAGCTACTATCATGAATCGGTTTTCCTGATCTGCTGTTTATTGTGCAAACAAAACTTTGGGGTTTATGGTGAACTAGTTCTATTTGGACAAGCTGCAGAAGATCTGTGACACTGCTGTACTGTTCATTAGTATTCTACTCCTAGAAAGTTTGCAAAGAGGCACTCTTCAGCTCTGGTGCCTGGACCAACTCTACCCTTTTCCTTCTTCCCTGACCCTACTGTCTGCAGCAAATAAAACTGTGCAGCCACCTTTGTTTTTTCTCTTAAATATGTTACCACAGAGGCGTTACCGTGCTTTCTAATAGGCCCAGCCTTGGCCAATGGCACATCCATCCTTGGAGCCACCAGGGATTGGCTTTGATGGACATAGAAGAAGCTTCTGGCAGCTTCTCATAGAAGCCACCCGTGTAGACCTTGGCCCCAGTACCAAAAAACAGGCCATGCAAACCCAATACAGTGGATTGTAGGAAGAGCAGTTACCTTTTGTGAGGAATTTGATGCAGCTGGTAAAAGAAAGCTTTCAGGAGTATGTGGTTGGCACAAAGAGAACTGCCTGTGTGAGATGGCTAGTTTCCAGGAAAAAGAGTTTTGTGCTCACTGTTTCTAGTTGCATGTTTGTAACTGAAGACAAACTGGGCTCCTTGACATATTTTACATGGTGGTAAGAGAAGCCTCTTCATACAGTTTTCACATCTCTGACTGCTGATTAGGGTTGATGGTTATGAGAAGATATTTGTCAAAAGTGAAGAAGTAATTAAGGTACTGTGATTTTTCATAGAGTTATTTTTCAGAAGAAAGATTGAATCTGAATCCTTTGGTACATTATTCATAGAGGATCCCAGCCCTCACCATCTTCCATGACTGACTTTGCAATCTTCTAGAAGTTTTACTTCTCTTCCAGTTTATAACCTTCCTG